CCATACAACCAGTTTTAAAGCAATATGAGGGCATCCATGAGGGTTCTTGCTCCAGTTTAACTAATTCAGCTGTCTGTAGCCAAGGCCTCGGAAATGGATAGCTTGTTTCTCCTGGGATTGTTCCTCCCAGATTTTCCCTTCCCATTTTGTTCTGGGCAGGGGTAAGGTAATGAACAAAAATATTTTGTGCTTGAAATTCGTTCCAAGAGGTTCCTGAGCTGTGAAACAGAGTTTTGGTTCAAGTCCATCTAAAATGGATCCCACAGGGAAGTCCATGAGCTGCATTTGCAACATTGGTTTCCCATCTCCACCAATTGCAATAGACTGTGAGGGCACAAACACCGGGTCACAACTGGGGAAGAAAAATTCCTGGCAATTCTTTCCCCTCAACTATTTTTAAATGTGAAATTTTGTCAGACTTTGAAACAATTTTAACCAGCTTTATTGTGGGTTGAAAAAAATGGGAGCAGAAAAATTTGCAATTTTTGTTTTAAATTTTGAAAATTCATAAATCTCAGGTCCTGGAACAAATGTTTGTTTCACATCTACAGTGGAATTTACAATGGGGTTAGTTAACATGTGAAAACACGACTGAAAATCAAAGCGTAGACCAACTCTAAGGCGCGCTAAGGCCTGGGTTTGATCCCAGACATCTTGCAACAGTCTAGGCCCCGTCTACATCACTAAGGAAATTCAGGCTGGTGTAATCTCCCTGGTGCAGTTACCACAGGACGAATCCCTAATGTAGATACATTTGCACTGACACAAAAGCAGATTTACAGCCTCTGCAGCTTAATCTGATAATCTAACCAAGTAAACCATGCCAGGGTATCTATGGTGTGCTTTGCCCTGCTGCAGCTACAGCTTCAAGCCTGGATGCCTTTATGGATTATTTTATTTTTTTTTAGTCAAACACAAGTTATTCTGCTCAATACAGGGGTGAGTGGGTGAAATCTCATGTGCTGTGTATCTAGGTCAAACTAAATAATCCGATGGTCTCTTCTGGCTTTAAAATCTAGGAATTACTCTGGAGTTAATTTCTTTTTTAACGTCAACAGGGCCTTATTTGTACATCACATTGCATACTACAGTCCTATGTCCATCTGAATTTGAGACCCCAACCAGTTATATCTCCATGGCTGGCAAAAGCTCCAATTCAAGAAAACATATAAGGACATGCTTATCCATCCCTGTTCAGGAAAGCCCTTAAGTGTGTGCTGACCTTTGACTTCAGTGGGACTCAAACACATCCTTAAAATTAAGCACAAGCACATGGATCACTTGATCATTACCTGCTCTGTTCATTCCTGCTGAAGCACCTGGCATTGGCCACTGTTGGAAGACAGGACACTAGGCTAGATGAACCTTTAGTCTGACCCAGTGTGGCTGCTCTTATGTTCTTATGCTTCAAATTAAACCATACCTAGATATTTGTGTGATTTTTTCCTAAAAAAGATTTTCATTTTAGGTCCAGAGTCATAGCCAGGAGCATGCTAAATTTCTTATAACATTTGTATGACTGCCATCAACCAGGCAAACTCCATTTTCGCTTGGAGAACATTCAAGGGGATGACACTCTTTTAAAAAAAAAATCTTTCTACAGACAAAACTCCACTTCAGGTGCTAAACAGCAGTGGAATGTCTTCGACAGAAAACTGCTCCTATTTACCCTTCCTCTGCCGTCAGTGATAAAGGAATTCAGTTGGCCTCATTTTCTCTCTGTTGTGTAATAAGCAGATAAGAGTGTCTTTGTATCATTAATGTATTTGTACAACCAGGAAATTGTTGCAGTCCTTGTTCTTTTAATAAAAGAGTTCTTTCCAAAAAATAAAAAGTAGGACCCAAAAAAAGTGAGTTCTGTATTTTATTTTTTTTTCACTTAATTGTCGTTTCTGCCACAGCACGAACAGTCCAGGAATAATTATAGCATGGTGTCTTTCTTGCGGGATCTACATGCTATAAAGCATTCCTAGAGAAAGTCACGGCTACTCAGATGCAGCCAGCTCTAGAGTGGAGCACAGCAGCTGTTTAACAGCCCACAGCTACACTGCACAAAAGGTTGGTGACCTAGCCAGTTGAAACTAAGGGGGAATTTTAGAGAGACAGAACATAGTTACCCAAAGTGGACTTTACCTAGGACATCAGGGTTAACACTTCTACTCTTATATGTCTAACTGGAATTAGGGATTAATTGCTCTGTGGCTAGGTTATTCCAAAACTGCCAGCTGCAGGGTTTCTTGCATCTCGGTGGGATGCAGCTGGCCAGTTGGAAACAAGGTTACATGGACGATGGATTTGATCTGGCACAGCAATTCCTGTTCTCTTGAGGGAACCGGCTTTGGGGGTCTGTAATAACCACAATAGCTCCAGCAGCGTGACACTGCCTAAAACCATGCGGGGCCCCACTGGTTCAGTTCTGACGCCAGCCCTGATTCAGGAAAGCACATACGCACGTGCTTAATTCTCATGGACTTCAATGGGATTTAAACACATGCTTAATGCTGTCCTGATGAGCGAGCTTTTCCTGAATCAGGTAAAAGAGTACTAACTACTAAAGGCCCAGGCCTGCTTCCCCTCCCCTCCCCCCAGTGTTAGATGAGATCTCTAACCCCTCTCTTTGGGGCGAGCACTCTTGAGAGAGGCACGAGGATAACAGCAGAGTGAACAGAAGAGCAATGCCCTGACATGTTTTGTCATCTGATTCCTCTGGAAAATGGCACAGACTAAAGCCAGCAATCTCCCTGGCCCCTTCAGTGCTTAGCCATCTGCACAAGGTAAATCATCACAGCTGTCAAAAAGTTACATTTTCCCCAGGGTAAATGTTAAAAAACCCAAACAGAACACCCTTTGACACTTCAACAATTCATTTAAAGGGAAGTGGGTGAGTCATGGGTAGCAAAGAGGCTAAATTCACTCTTCAGCTTCGATGTTTCGGTTGGGGAAATCGGCAGAGCTCATGGAAAGCACAGTTGGAGGACATTAAAATGAAATTTTCTCATGGCTTATTAGGTCAGCAGAATCCCTTCATGTAACAACAGCCGTGGAGTTCACTTGGCTATTGTATTTAGCAGATATAGCAGTAAAAAAACCCCAAAATGACTGCCAAAATTTAAAAAAAAAGGGCTTTTCCGTTCCTGGCTCTGATGTAATCAGACATCAGTCTGATGAAGGGCTCCATTCGAAGATGAACGTTCCAGCCCTGATCTAACAAAGTCCTTAAGCACATTGCTTAACTTTCAGCTCTTGGTTAGACCGATGGAAGTCAACAACACAGTGTTCAAGGTTGTCCCACTAAGACTGCAGCAGAGCTAGGAAAAGAACCCAGGAGTCCTGACTCCCCATCCTATTATTTATTTATCTGTATTTACATAGCTCCAAGGAGCCCTTATCACGGACCAGGCCCTCCCTGTGCTAGTCACAAACACAGGACAAAAAGTTCCCCGCCTAAAGCGCTCACAATCTAACTATAAGAAGAGAGGTAACTGATGGAGACAGACAGGGGAGTCCACTTATGCTTTAACCAGACCAATGTGCGAACGCCATGTCAATCAGTTCAGAAGCAAAAGCCGGTCAAATTCAAATGAGAAATAAGGCATCCTTTATTTTTTTAACCGTGAAGATGATTAAACATTGGAACAAACTGTAGGGAAGTGGGCGGTTCTCCATCTTTTGATGGCTTCAGAGCAAAACTGGACTCCGGTCTGGAAGATAGTCTTTACTCAGACAAATTATTGCACTGGATCGAGGGGAGGTGGGTGACATTTCCATGGGTTGTGCTATACAAGAGGTCAGCCCACTTGAGCCAGATGGTTCCTTCTGGCCTTAGAAGCTATGACAATACTCCAAGACTCAGAAGCCCATGAGAGCAGCCATACTGGGTCAGACCAAAGGTCCATCGAGTCCAGCCTCCTGTCTTCCAACAGTGGCCAATGCCAGGTGCCCCAGAGAGAATGAACAGAACAGGGAAACATCCAGTGATCCATCCTCTGTCACCCATTCCCAGCTCCTGGCAAACAGTGGCTAGGGACACCATCCCTTCCCATGCTGGCTAATAGCCATTGACGGACCTATCCCCCATGAACTTATCTAGTTCTTTTTTGAACCCTGTTATGGTCTTGGCCTTCACAGCATCCTCTGGCAAGGAGTTCCACACAACCTGAAGCCGACAGCTTTCAGAGTTGGGCCTCTGACCATCAGGCTCCTAACTTTATATTTAAGCCCCTACATAAAATGAAAATGCGGGGAGGGGCTATGTGTGGGGGGAGGAGCCTTCCTTTTAGGCACCCACCTACACATTTCGGGGGGGGGTCCTACTAACCGGGCCAGGAGGTGGTTGGACAGATAATTGCGCCAGGGTGACGTGAGCCAGGCGCAATCCTCCCCCAGCACAAGCCTCCGCTGCTGGGAGGCGTTTGATGAAACCCTCCTGGGGCCTTGGCAGCTCCTCGCTGGGGTTGTGGGCAGCCCTTTCCCGGAGGCAGCACGAGAGGCACCCGAAGGGAAGCTTCCCCCAGCGAGGCTCGCTCCGTTCGCAGCCTGGAGCCCAAAGGCAGTGGGCTCAGCTGCAGCCGGGGGGGTCCACACTGCAAAAGGGGTGCAGCGGCGGGGGGGTCCACACTGCAAAAGGGGTGCAGCAGGGGGCTCCACACTGCAAAAGGGGTGCAGCGGAGGGGGGTCCACACTGCAAAAGCGGTGCACCGGAGGGGGGGTCCACACTGGAGGGCGGGGGGTCCACACTGCAAAGGGTGCAGCGGCGGGGGTCACATGCAAAAGCGGTGCAACGGAGGGGTCCACACTGCAAAAGCGGTGCACCGGAGGGGGGGTCCACACTGCAAAAGGGGTGCAGCGGGGGGGGGGAGCTTCCAAGCCTGCGCCCTTGCACCAGGCTGGCTGCATTGCAGGCCACATTGCACTGCAGGGCTGGGGAACCCGCCGTGCGCGGGGGTGGAACCTTCCGCAGCTCGCCCAGCGCCCCGGCGGCCGCAAACCGGCCCGGCACCGCCTGCGCCTTCCGGCGGGGCGGGGCAGGGCCCGGGAAGGTGACCCGGCGGCCGGCTGCGCGCCCCGGCTCAGCCAGCATGCCGGCGCTGCAGAGCCCGGCCGCTCTTGCGACACTGGTGAGCGGAGCCTGCGCGAGGGCGGCGGGCTGCTGGGTAAGCGCACGGGGCAGGGGCCAGGGCAGGGCTGCCGGTGGATCTTGGGGGGCGGGGAAAGAGGGGAACCCCCCCCTCAATTAGCCCCCTCACTCCCCTCCTTTTCGGGTATTTCCAGGGGGCTCTCCATGGGCCAGAGGGTTGGGTTCTAGCCTAGATGGAAATGTGTGTGTGCATCAGCCTGGCAAAACAACCCCCCCTTGACCGCCCTTCACCTATCACTGGGGATTATTTGATTAATGAGGTTTACTAGGCTAGCGCCCAGGGACACCCCCCCCCCCGAGACCCCTCCAGGGTGCAAACACTGTTACTGTGCAGGGTGCAAACACACCCCTAACTTCGGTTCACCACTCCCGGATCGTTCAGGGGTGTGAACTGTTCACACCCCTGAGGCCTGGGCTACGCGACAAGGGGAGGGTGACGTAAGTCGCCCCGGCCTCGGCCTATCTGTGCGGGCGTCTACGCTCCCATTTCTTTCCGGCCAGCCCGCGGGCCCTGTTACGGCGACGCAGTTAAAAAACAAACAAACCACCACCTCCCCGAACGGCGCGGTCAGCCTCCCGAGGGCGAGGGAGACCCAGAGTGAACACTGCATGACCTGTGTCAACCCCAGCCGTCCTCCAGCCGCTGTCCCACAATGCCCCGTTCCCTGGGACAGCGAGCGGCGTGGTTAAGACGACCTAAGCCCCGGGGAAGTCACCTCCTTCCACCGACCCAGGGGATGGATTTACTACAGGGATAGTAAATAGCTGTAGCAAGTAACAGCAGCGCTCGGAGGGTAGACGTACGCTCAGGGAGCTGCGGGTGTGATTCCCGAGGAGCAGCTAGTGGGCTAAAAACAGAGCGTAGCCCCAGAGGCCTGAGCTGCAGGAGGGGCTATACAGCATATCAGACCGGTCCCTACTTGGTGCGGCTAGCGGCCTCTCCCACTCCTCGCGCCATTGCAGCTACACTCTGTCGTGCACTAGCTCCATCCCAGCTAGCGTGGGGACGTCCCCTCGAGCTGGGGATTTATGCGTCCAATCCAGCTTGAAGCATAGACATCTCTTACACGAAAAAAGCTAGACAAAGGGTGGGAGAAAAGGCTGGAGCTCTCTTTACCATGGTGATGGAGGGGGGGGATTAACTGTGTTTTGCTTGCCTGTTAAAACAAAAACATACCCCCTTCCCCCCCAAAAGAGCACTCTCCGAGAGCAAACGGAGGAGTAAAATATTGGCCCATATAGAAACTGATGATAAACTTACTGTGATATAATATCTAGCTCTTTGTGTCTGTATTGCTCAAAGCACTTGACAAAGGAGGGCAGTGTCTTTATCCCTATTTTACAGATGGGGAAACTGAGGCATGGGGCAGTGAAATGACTTGCCCAAGGTCACATAGCAGGCCAGTGGCAGAGCCAAGAGTACAACCCCAATCTCCTATCCACCAGGTCACACTGCTCTGAAGGGAGATCAGCTTTTCTCTAGGGGTGGGGTTTTCATAAGCCCCAAAGGCCTCAATCTTGCAAACACTGATGCCTATGTAATGACTTACGAGCACAAGACCGATTCACTGTCAGTGGGATTTGTGGTGCTAAGGTTATTTGAAACGTTGAAAAATCTCTGTCTATGATATATAACACGTATGTATGTGGTAGTCTGGTGTTTATTGTATGTGATATGTAAAAAGAAAAGGAGGACTTGTGGCACCTTAGAGACGAACCAATTTATTTGAGCATAAGCTTTCTTGAGCTACAGCTCACTTCATCGGATGCATTCAGTGGAAAGTGTAGAAGATCTTTTTATATACACACAGAGACCATGAAACAATACCTCCTCCCACCCCACTCTCCTGCTGGTAATAGCTTATCTAAAGTGATCACTCTCACTTTAGATAAGCTATTACCAGCAGGAGAGTGAGGTGGGAGGAGGTATTTTTTCATGCTTTGTGTGTATATAAAAATATCTTCTACACTTTCCACAGTATGCATCCGATGAAGTGAGCTGTAGCTCACGAAAGCTCATGCTCAAATAAATTGGTTCGTCTCTAAGGTGCCACAAGTCCTCCTTTTCTTTTTGCGAATACAGACGAACGCGGCTGTTTCTCTGAAATATGTGATATGTGTGTATGGTATAGACTGCTTTGGTGTTTGTTGTTTATACTCCTTTATATTTAAAACAACAATACATAATTTTAAAAAGCTATCTCTACAAAAAAATCAGACAACCCTCAACCTTCCAATTCATTTATTTGGTTATTCTTTAAATCCGATGATTTTTGAATGCATAGCAACACCAAGGATCTGATCCCTCTGTCACCCTGGCTTGCATAGTCCTTTGCACCCGTGTCGAGTGGGTATACCACGTGAGCAGAGCAGGGCAGTGGGGAAATCAAGCTGTGCAATGGGGTTATATGGGGAGCTGGTGGTGGGCTTATAAATTCAGTGATTATTTTTGTGAATGTATTTTGTGCATAGAGGCCCCCACAAAGGTTAAGGCCCCATTGTGCTGGGCGCTGCCCAGACACAGGGTGAGAGGGAGTCCCAGCCTCAGTGAGCATTGAAATAGACTAGACGCAGAAGGGATGGGAGGGAAAGAGGCACAGAAAGGCAGAGCTGAGACTAGAACCCAGGTCCCCTGAGCTTTAATCCAGTCTCCAGCCCACTGGACTGGTCTGTTTTCTGGCTGGTGAGAGATCAAAATTTAAAGAAGAGAATAATAAGTTGAGAGGACTCAAAAGTGCTTCTCTGCTGAGGCAAATGTGATCTCTTAATCCAGCCTGGAGTGTGTTTTCCAGCCTGGAGTGTGGGAAAAGGAGTTTATTACTTTCCAGAAGCTCAGGCTAATAAACCTCCTTCCGAAGCCGTTAGGGCTTCAGGCATCATAAAACTGCTAATGTCACTGGCAGTAAAATATGTATATTTTAAATCCGCAGGATGTCTTGACATAAGAAAACATTTTGCTATGGCATCTCCCACCAATAACAGAAAAACCCTGTTAATCTCTCTCTGTGGAAACATAGTCAGACAGTAATATTACAGTAAACTCAGCTGCGACTGGGGCCTCGGGGTGCTAGGTGCTGTACAGACACAGCGCAAGAGACATTCCCTGCCCCAAAGAACTTCTAGTCTAAATAGACAAGACAAAGGGTAGGAGGGGAAACAAGCACAGAAGAGCCAGAAGTAGAAGTCAGCTCTCCTGATTCCCAGTCCAGTCCCCTATCCAGTAGACCGGCTACCCCCTGTTGTTATGCTCCTTGCTTAGATTTTTAGTTTGACCCAGTCCTCGGGTATTACGCACAATGAGCTCTTATAAAAACAAGATTTCCCGGCTGAGTTGAACCTAATAGGACAGATCCTTTACAGCAGATCTCTGTACCTGACCATACCTCCCTCTCCACAGGTAAGGAGTTCTTCAGGTACCTCTTCGTCCCCTTCCCAGCCAGCAATTGCAGCCAAACACCCATACCAAGTGGACTTGAAGGCAGGAAAGCTTTATGCTTGGTGCGCCTGTGGCCACAGCAAGAAACAGGTAACTTCCAAAATCATTGTGGTTTATCCTTCATGTCCGCACTCCCCGAGGTTCTTAGCAATTCACCCAGCTCAGAAGCATTTTTCATTGGCCTACATGACCTCCTTCGGCATTCCTGCAAAACTCTGAAGGCTATGGGAAAGTCCAGGGTCTTGCTTCCAACACCAGCTAAACTGGGAGGAGTGGTAGATACGCTGGAGGGTAGGGATAGGATACAGAAGGGCCTAGACAAATTGGAGGATTGGGCCAAAAGAAATCTGATGAGGTTCAACAAGGACAAGTGCAGAGTCCTGCACTTAGGACGGAAGAATCCAATGCACCGCTACAGACTAGGGACCGAATGGCTCGGCAGCAGTTCTGCAGAGAAGGACCTAGGGGTTACAGTGGACGAGAAGCTGGATATGAGTCAACAGTGTGCCCTTGTTGCCAAGAAGGCCAATGGCATTTTGGGGTGTATAAGTAGGGGCATTGCCAGCAGATCGAGGGACGTGATCGTTCCCCTCTATTCAACATTGGTGAGGACTCGTCTGGAGTACTGTGTCCAGTTTTGGGCCCCACACTATAAGAAGGATGTGGAAAAATTGGAAAGAGTCCAGTGGAAGGTAACAAAAATGATTAGGGGACTGGAACACATGACTTATGAGGAGAGGCTGAGGGAACTGGGATTGTTTAGTCTGCGGAAGAGAAGAATGAGGGGGGATTTGATAGCTGCTTTCAACTACCTGAAAGGGGGTTCCAAAGAGGATGGATCTAGACTATTCTCAGTGATAGCAGATGACAGGACAAGGAGTAATGGTCTCAAGTTGCAGTGGGGGAGATTTAGGTTGGATATTAGGAAAAACTTTTTCACTAGGAGGGTGGTGAAACACTGGAATGCGTTACCTAGGGAGGTGGTGGAATCCCCTTCCTTAGAAGTTTTTAAGGTCAGGCTTGACAAAGCCCTGGCTGGGATGATTTAGTTGGGGATTGGTCCTGTTCTGGGCAGGGGGTTGGACTAGATGGCCTCCAGAGGTCCCTTCCAACCCTTATATTCTATGATTCTATGACCAGCTGCTTCAGAGGAAGGAACAAGAAATACCTCCCCCTAGTGGACATGGTTGGGGTAACCTAGTTGTCTCCCTAGCTCCTATCCGTTCTAATTGCCTTGTGCCATGAAGCTTAACATTATTATATTAAAATATATGTTTTAAATTATCTTTAAGTAACTGTTCCATTGTTGAAGCTGGTGGTAGCTAAAGACAAGGTGTTCTCAGGAGCGGGCCCATGCCTCTGCAAGGCCCTTTTAATGGAAATATTTCAAAGCCTCAAATGCAGCCCCATTTTAGCATGAGTTCTCCCAGCTGTGAGCTATGAATTGCCGAGGCACTGAGGCAGCTGGCTAGATCTCCTTTCTCTGCCCTTTTAAAGCCAGGCCTCTGTAGGAAACCAGGGTCTGTTTGCTGCTCTGATTTGGAGATTGCTGGGGTCCCAAATTCCAAGTGCACCCAGACATTGCGCTGAAAGGCAATGAGTGAAATACTTGATAATCAGCTAGGGAGAGGCAGCTTAACACCCACTGCTGGCCATACTGCGTCAAACCAGTGGTCCATCTAGGCCAGTATCCTGTCTCTGGCAGTGGTTGGTACCAGACAGTTCAGAGGGAGTGAACAGAACAGAGCAATTTCGAGTGATCCATCCCCTGTTATCCAGCCCCAGCTTCTGATGTTTGGAGGTTTAGGGACACCCAGAGCATGGGGCTGCATCCCTGACCATCTTAGCTAATAGCCACTGATGGACCCATCCTCCAGGAACTCATCTAATTCTTTTTTGAACTCAGTTATACTTTTGGCCTTTACGATATCCCATGGCAACAAGTTCCACGGTTAACTGTGCGTTGTGTAAAAAAGTACTTCCTTTTGTTGTTTTTTAACCTGCTGCCTGTTAATTTCATTGGATGCCCCCCTAGTTCTTGTGTTATTTGGAGAGCTGAACAATACTTCCCTATTCGCTTTCCCCACACTAGTCATGATTTTAGAGACCTCTAGCATATCCCCCTTTAGTCGTCTCTTTTCTAAGCTGAAAGGTCCCAGTCTTTTAAATCTCTCCTCATACGGCATCTGTTCCATCCCCCTCATCATCTTTGTTGCCCTCCTCTGCACCTTCTCCAATTCCAATTTCTCATTTTTTTGAGACGACCAGAACTGTGCACTGCATTCAAGATGTGGGCATACCGTGGATTTACATAGTGACATCATGATATTTTCTGTTTTATGATCTATCCCTTTCCTAATGGTTCCTAACATTCTGGTCGCTTTTTTGACAGCCGCCGCACCCTGAGCGGATGTTTTCAGGGAACGATCCACCATGACTCCAAAATCTCTTTCTTGAGTGGTAAAACAGCTAATTTAGATCCCATCATTGTGTGTGTGTGTAGTTGGGATTATTTTTTTCCAAGGTGCATTACTTTGCTTGGGAGTGTTCTCATTCTTTATGTGATACTAGCCTCTAATGGCCCCAGTCAGGCTCATTGTGTGTTGATACCATGCAACCCTTCTCATCAAGTGCAGTAAGTTAAAATCTAGAGAGTTATAACTGCATTTAAGTTTATTCTTTTCTGTTCCCCTCTGCCTGTGAATGCTCATGTTGCTGTTTATAAGCAGACAGCAACCAAAAATGGAAGTCTCCTCTCAACTATCCCATTCTCCCTCTGGACATTACATTTCCTAATAGGTACATCGATCTCCCTGTCCTCCTGTGTCAGCTGGTATCTCCCACTCGGAGAAATACCTGTTCTGTAGGGGGACTGAAGAGGTTTCAGCTATAGTGTTTCCTTTAAATCCTGCAATAATGGAAGAGTCAATCAGGTTTATTATTATGCAGAAGCAGGACGCCTGATTTGGCAGATAACTGGAGTATGATGTGCAACACATATGGAGCCTAAATACTTTATTGATCAGGTGTATTACAGTAGCACCAAGAAGCCCCAGTCACAAACCAGGACACCATGGTGCTAGGCGCTGTACAAACAGAACATAAAGATAGTCCCTGCCCAAAAGAGCTGACAGTCTGTCTGAGACAAGAGGGGTTAAAAGAGGTTTGACCCATTCGCAACATTATGTCAGGCTGTGAGGGAAATGCGTCCCATTTAATGATCACCCCTGGTACAAGCTAGGAGCCAGTGCAAAATCCATCAGGTGAAATTAACGTCATGACGTGTTGTGAGCTGCCTTGTCACCGATCATCCTGCTCTCTGTAAACTGTGGGGGGCCTAAAAAGCTGACCTTTCCTCGGCTATCTTTTGGTGATCTCTGCTGGTGTGGGGGAAGGAAAGCAGAGGAGAAAATGGGGAGGCTAGTATTAATTCCCCTCTTGCTTGGAAATGCAAACAGATCTTTACCCAATATGGGGCAGACTGGGTCTCCAGCTCCTCCTAGGAGGAAGGATGAACCAGTGGTTTGGGCACTTATCTGAGATGCAGGAGACCTGGCTTCAATTCTTTCCCCTGCCTCAGATTTCCTGTGTGGCCTTGAGCATGTCACTTAGTCTATCTGTGCCTCAGTTTCCCCATCTGTATTCTGCCCTCCAGGGGCTGAAAGATAAATAAAGATTATGAGGCGCTCAGATAGAATGGTGATAGGGGACCAGATAAATACCTGAGCTAGATGGAGCTAATCTAGCTCCGTGAAACAGTCTCTCCTTCCCAGCAGCCCTGGCACACCCCTCTTGGCATGGTGGTGCCAAGTAAAACCACTGCTTTGTTTCTTTTGCTCTACAGCCTTTCTGTGATGGATCCCATAAAACTGCAACCCCAGATCTCTCTCCCCTGAGGTTCCGGCTGGATGAGGCCAAGAGCGCCTGGCTGTGTGGGTGCAAACACACCAAATCCCCTCCTTACTGCGACGGCACCCACAAGGAGGAGTTCGTTCAGAAAGCAAAGCTCCCTGGGCAGCCTTGATGGGGGGCTTCCTATCCTGACACCAGCGGGGGGACCTTGCAGCTTGTTTCGAGGGGTGGGGGGCTGCAGGAATGGGAAGATGTTCAGGCTTTCAGTGTTTTCCGGTGTATTGGATCAAGTTGTCCGAACAGCTCCAGGTTCCATTCTTATTTCCCTGTACATGAAGTTCTGTACAGACCAGGCCAAACACACACATGGGCACCAGGGTGGTGGCTTCTTCCAGCTGCTGAGAAGGATCAAATAAAAGCGACAAGGCCTTTTTCACGTTGCTGGCACAAAGAGAAAGATGGGTTTGGTCTGCATTGTTGCATCTCGGTGTTATAAAATAAATCCCAGCATTACAAGAACAGAGCCGACTGGGTGGCTAATAAATAGGTTCTCTGCAAAGAAACTTCTAGCCCATGGGAGCAAATGGGATCCCAATGCACAAATGTTGTAGGAGGAAAACTGCATGTCATGATCTATCGCCGGTTCCTCTGGGCTGTCCCTGCCACCTTTGTAAACCATAAAAAAATGAGGAACTTTGTTGGCTGCAGATTAGAAAGCCTGCCGCTCATATGAGCCCAGCTGTTCCCGTTTGCCTTGTCCCCAGCCTGATTGTAGCTGGAGCCTGTTTCTTGGGTGACTTTGTTTTCAGTTCAGGCTGGAGATTTCCCACCGCCCCCCACCCCCCCCGACCTCAATTGAATTATTCCTCGGTGAGCTGACACTTGATGACTCGTGGAAGTAAAGTGAAGCACATACCCAAGTGGTTGCAGGATCAGGGCCCAATTGTTTAAATTAAAGGTGGCCTGCAAAGGGGAAAATAGGCTTGTTGTGGTTTTTCTTCTTTATGATCGATAAAAAGAACCTGAAGAATTGGGAGGTTTGGGCTTTGAAAAGCTGGGGGGGGGGGTCTTTTCTGCTTGCCTCTTTCCTCAGGGATGTCAAGTTTTGTGTAGTTCTCTGTTTCTGGTGGAGGAGTCCCTGGAGGACTCAAAGCTGCAAATTGAAAATTTTCTCAGCCCTCCAACAGAAGGAGTGTCAAAGCCTTTCAAAGAGATTTTATTTGTGAACTCCTTTTCACTCAAAACTTCGAAAACCCCACCGTTTTAAGCAGTTGAAATGAAAACCATCATGACTTCCCTTCTGAATGAAATGACGTGTCACTTCCTTGCTGTCTGCCGTAAACCTCCAAGTTCAAGTTTTCCATAGACTCTCCCAGAAAAGACAAGATCTGAATTTCTAAGGCCTTGTCTACACACGCCCAAGTTGTATCAGTTTAACTATATGGGTGGATCCATTTATACTGGTATAAAGGTGCGTATATTGGGATAACTATTCGCATATGGGTTGGGGAATAAGTTATATTTGTGCAAGGCACTTTTGTATACCAGTGTAACTGCTAGGGATTGTATTGGTGTAACTTTAACGGTTAAACAAAATCACACCCTTCAGTGTATCTAGTTATACAGGTGCAAAATCTGTGCGTAGCCGAGGCCTTAATATATAAAAAAACAAGCAGAAGAAAAAGTAGCAAAAAAGCAACTTTTCAGGCCTTCTTAACTCATAATCAAGAAGCAAAAAACCACATTTCTTTTTCTTTCCAGGTCTTTTTTTAACAGTCAAGTTGCTCTTTCCTCTCCTGTCTTTGTTCTCACAAAGGGTTTCTTACAGGGCAGTTTTTTAACACGATGGGGAGACCTGTAACTGACAAACCGCAACGTTTTTGTTGACCTCTGTTTAGACGACAGGTAAAATTTTCAAAAATGCCTACGTCATTGGAATTCAGTGGGACTTAGGTGCAGACCGTCAAAGGTATTTAGGCACCTACCTCCCATTGAGATCAGTGGGAGTTAGGCATTTAAACACCTTTGGAGAATCTGGCCCTTAAGTGCCTTATTGCTGATCTACACAGAAAGTTGTACCAGTTTGACAAAAGGTATGATTTAAACTAGCGCTGTTTTGTTTGTGGAACAAACTGGTTTATGTTGCTTTAGCTTGTGCATACTTAAAACGTGATGAGAGTGTCCACACACCAAATTGCATCGGTTTCATTAGAGCAGTATAAAAGTTAAACCGATGCTGCTTGTGTGTCTGTGTGTGTGGACGAGGGCTAAGTCCCTGAGGCGCTTTTAAACCTTTAACCCTGCAAGCCTGGTTCTCTGCTACACCCTCATTTACACCAGTGCAAAACAAGCGATCCTAGTGACATGGTTGGAAACCAGATCAGAATGGCCATGTTTTACACTGGCTTTATACTAGTGTGAATGATGGTATGAATCGCCAGGGCCATGGAAAATTAGACCCTTCTTAATTAGCCAAACATTCAGAATGGAAGATGTGCTCGGTACATCTGAATGGCATGGTTTTCTATGAGTCGGTTTATCTGGAAACCAGAGGAAGTTATTTCTGCCAGTGCACAAGGGCAATTGCTCCTGTAACAGACTGCCATTACGGGGGAGTTCTTTGCACAAACCCCAGAGACTTCGAGATGCTGCCATAATAATAAACCAAACCCAGTTGTCATGCAGAGACGCAACTTGTTCTTGTACCATAGCATCAGCCCTAACAACTCAGTGGTCGGGGCTTCAGGAGATTGCAAGGGACCCCTCTTTCTCTTGAATGGTTGTTTTGATTATGAAATGGTTAATAAAATATTAAGATCCAGCTAGATGGCTCTGCCTCTTTCATTTTAAAAAAATCCCAGCCCCTTGGGGGTTCCCCCTCCCAGCCCTACTCTGGTGGGGTCTGGTTGGGGGAAGGGAGGAGCCTGCTTTTAAAGTTAGCAATGCAAAGAGGGTTTGGAAAAGTTATCTTCCCGCCGGAGGCTGTGCACTACACCAGAGGAAGGAACACCTGTGCTTGTCTGTGGATCAGTTTCTCCAGCTTGTTGCCTCTCCTAATAACTCCTCCACCTGTTGGTAGATAAGACACAAATGAAGCAAATCACCTGGCTAGGTCATTAGTGGGGATCGGCCCCTAAATCTCTGGATTTAAAACCATCAACTGCTACTCTTTGAGCTAAACAAACAAATCCATTAGCCTGGAGTCAGTATCAGACTCATGGACCCCCTACCTGGTCCAGCCAGTAGAAGGAGACATAGATCCACACTGTTTTTTTAGGTAGAGAAAAAAAGGAGTTTTTTGGGAACCTTAGAAAATAACCAATTTATTTGAAATGATTTGTGAGTCGGTCTTCCCTCCTCTTCTAAAAAATATTGTTGTCACGGAGGAGACACCCTCTTTTTTTTGCAAATACAGACTAACACGGCTGTTCCTCTGAAACCTGTTCTAGGTTGAGCCATCCATCAAGAGAAGCTTCCTGCCTTATCTTGGTGTCAGTCCAGAGTGACTTCGTTTGAGCTGACACAGGTAGAAACAGATCAGAATCTGCTCCGTTCTACTGTGATCACTCCCTGGTTGCTTTACCTTCAGCTAAAGGCAGCTGATTGTTTTTTCTTCCCCCTGTCCCCGTAAAACCAGATTTTCTCTCCAGAAAGAAGTTGCAATACTGTGGGGAGGAAAGAACCAGCTTTAAACAAAAAAAGACCTCAAAGAGGAGAGCAAGTGAACCTGGAAGGTGGGTTTGGTTTGGGGCTAGTGAAGTGTGTCTTTGAACGAAGATTTAATTAGCATCACAGAGCTGTCAGGGCCCTGAACAGAAGCCAGCTGACGTTGCGAAGGGGGATTTTAGGAGTGGCGCGGAATATACACACACGCTTCACCCAGCCAGGCGATTCCGCCCCATACACACACCAGCTGGTGCCAGGCGGGGAGAAAAAACCCAGCCCAGCGAGGAAAGGGAGCGAAAAACTCAAGCCCTTCACAGAGCAGGCTGGGGCTGGGACTGGGACTGGCTTTTCCTTCCCAGCTTTGCTCGCCTCTCCTGCCAGGCGGCGTGGGAATTACTAGCGTTAAGTAATGATAAAGCCAGGCTGCCGGAGTGGGGCAGCCGAGGAGGGCTGCCGGGGTGGAGGGGTTGTTGGTGCAGTCGTTTGGATTGCTTTCCAGAAGGACCCAGCCTCCGGAGCTCACCTGAAATGCAGAGCCGCGGGGCGGTCTTGCCAGCTGACGGGTTCCCTTCCAGGGCAGACGGAGCCAGGAGTCTCCGGAGGGCTTTCCAGCGCCCCCGGCTATGATCCCACGGCCAGACGTTACCGCAGCCGGGAGAAAACTGGAGCTTTGAAGAAAACAGCCTCAATTTTGGCTTCATTAAAAAAAACAAAACCAAAAATGCCCCGGTGTGGGAATAATGAAATCCCACCTGAAAACAGTGGGGTGCCCGGGTAATTTGCCCCTTGTTTCTGCCTTGGATTCTCTCGAAACTGGGACACCGGTTTTGCTTTTTAAATTAACAAAAAATGTTTATTTTGCTTCCCCCCCCCTCCCTCCAAAGGCTCCGTGGTTGGGACAGAACCCAGACCTGCCTAACACAGACATTGCCGAAGCGAATAGATAAACCAACTTCCCATCCGCCCCTAAAGTTTTGAGTTTCAATAGCTGCCAGGCCAGAAAGAAAAAGAAATCAAGTTCTCCCTACACCGGGAATTGCTCGAATCAGAGAAGATCAGGGTGGGAAGGGACCTCAGGAGGTCATCTAGTCCAACCCCCTGCTCAAAGCAGGACCGATCCCCAACTAAATCATCCCAGCCAGGGCTGTGTCAAGCCGGGCCTTAAAAACCTCTAAGGAAGGAGATTCCACCACCTCCCTAGGTAACCCATTCCAGCGCTTCAGGACCCTCCTGGTGAAAAGTTTTCCCTAATATCCAACCTAAACCTCCCCCACTGCAACTTGAGACCATTGCTCCTCGCTCCCCTCTGGGCCCCCTAACAAGTGGGGTCCCTTGAAGAAGCCCGGGCTTTCTCCGAGCTTGTCTCCAGTGTCTAGACACCTATCTAGCTGTCAGCTCCCCAGAAGGCTGTTTCTGCCGCCAAGAGCGGTTGGTGGTTTGTGTCTTGAAGCGGTTCCACCCCTCTAGACAGTTTCCACTCGACAGCAGCTAACCCCGCACTCAGGTATTGTGTCTATACGGGGGGGCGGATTTAAATGTGTACCTGAAATTAACAAGCAGCTCACGTGGGAGGCAATCCATGAGTTGTCTGAAAGAAAAATAGGTGGGAGAAGGGAAGGGGGGGAAGCCAAGACCCCACTCTAAATCTTGCCTGGCTCTGTTGCTGGGGAAGAGGGCTAACACACCAAAGCATCGACTCCTTGACCAAATCGATTCACTTTCGGGTTTTCCCTTTGTGGGTGGGGTTTAAGGGAACAGGGCGAGACGGGAAAACGGGAAGAGGAGAAAAGAATAGATTGCCGCCCCCCCCAATAAAATATTTCCCGACACTGTTTTCCGTGCATTATGCGGGGAATAAATCGCAGAACCAGGCTGTGAGCTGGGACATGTATAGACCTGCCCAGGGAAATGCTCTAAACGCCATTGTGATGACATTAACCACGAGTTATTGCTGAGGGTGACTTGTTTCAAACTTTTGGGTCTGGAATTCTGCTCCCATTTGCACCAGTGAAAATCCAGCGTGAATCCATCCCCACTCGCTTTCGTGGGGCTGCTCGTGATTTACCCAGCTGTGTAGTCTCTAATTAACACGTGTGTGCCTCCCATCTGCACAAAGCGTCTCCTCCCTGACCGGACAAGCTAGCTGAGGGGGTGGATCCAGCTCTGTCCAGGTTCCTTCACGCCGCAGCTCTGATTCTTGCAAGCTCTGGGTTTGTCAGGTAAGCGAGTCTGCGTGGTCTCCCTTCTTTACAACTCCCCTTTTCTGCTAGCCTCTCCCCTTCCTGGGCTTCTAACCAACAACCTTCCCTGAATCCACTAACCCACCATCTTGCCACTTCTCTAAGCCAAACCTTCACTTAAATCCAGCAGTTTCAATCCAAACTTTTCAGAGGGTGAAGATTTTTGGCTCTCCCCTTGTTAAGTATTTTTGAAGCATGTGTTGTTATTAATTATTGACTATTTTTATTTTTAATATAATGTTTTGACATGTTAAGATCTAGCATTGTTAATTTCATGTCCAGAACTTTTAAATAATAATACTGTGGGGCAGGGAAAGTTTCCATATTCCTCCCAGAGCTGGGCTGCAGGTTGATCTGGTAATCAGCAAGTCTAGTTTCTAACTCAGATCTGTTACATTCCCAGACCAGTGGCTACAGAAGAAACTTTGTTCCCTCTGAAACCCTCACTGATAACAACATAAAGTCTGCTCACCGATTCATCTCTGCCTTTAAAATACTATTTTTAAAAAAATCTCCTTCCTTTATTCATAGATTCTAAGCCAGAAGGGATGACTGTGATCATTGTCTGACCCCCTGTATAGAGAACTCTTCCCCCCCCCCCCCCGCAAAAAAAAAAAAAACAATTCCCAGAGCGGATCGTCTAGGAAAAAATATCCAATTTTGATTTAGAAATTGTCAGTGATGGAGAATACACCACGACACTTGAGAAATTGTCCCAGTGGTTAATTACTCTCACTGTTAAAAATGTATGCCTTATTTCCGGTCTGAATGTATCTAGTTTCAACTTCCAGCCCTTGGATTGTGTTAGACCTTTCTCTGCTAGACTGAAGAGCCCACTGTTAAATATTCTATTGGGGTATCTTTTCCAGACATCCCCTGATTGCAGCCTCGGTTATCTCCCACAAAACCTGGCTTCATCTCATTGTACATCACATAACAAAAAATGGTGCCTTAGGGCCAAGTTTATCAAGTATTTAGGTGCCTACAGATGGATATAGGCAGGGGTGCTGGAATAATTTTTATAGTGGGGGTGCTGAGAGCCATTGAACCAAACTGTGAACCTTGTATATGATGGAAACCACTTCAAGCCAGGGGTGTGACAGCACCCCTAGAACCTATAGCTCTGTGTAACACCAACAGACCCCCCGTTGTCGGCAGGCAGGAGCGAACCTGGGGCCTCCGGAGCTTAATGCATGAGCTAAAAGCCAACTGGTTGTTAGCCAAGGCTGTAGAACAAACTCATTAATATCTGCTTTCAGAGTAACAGCCGTGTTAGTCTGTATTTTCAAAAAGAAAAGGAGTATCTGCGGCACCTTAGCGACTAACCAATTTATCTGAGCATAAGCTTTTGTGAGCTACAGCTCACTTCATCTCTTTCTCATGTCTCGGTGCCACTAGGTGGGACAGAACACCACACCCAGGAGGTGTGTGCATTACACTAGCACCTGTGGATATAGGGGCATAGGCCCAGATCCAGAACGGTAGTTAGACCCTAAATACCTTTGGTCTCTACAAGGATTTTCAAATATGCTTAGATGCCTCCCTGGGAGTGTTAGGGAGCTGGCAATGCACCTAATAGAGATCTGCTCTAAAGAAAAGAGATAATCTCCTCTCCCTGGCTGCGTTAATAGGTGCTAACAACCTGAGACAGGCTGAGATTTTAACGGTGTTGATTTCTGGACCACCCAGCACTTCATTCCTAAGCGTTCTCGTCAAGGATAACCCATCCCAAAAATCAGTCCTCATTACCCAACAGAGGGATTTGCTTTTTGACTAATTTCAGAGGAACAGCCGTGTTAGTCTGTATTCGCAAAAAGAAAAGGAGTACTTGTGGCACCTTAGAGACTAACCAATTTATTTGAGCATGAGCTGATGAAGTGAGCTGTAGCTCACGAAAGCTCATGCTCAAATAAAT